ACCCCAAACACGAGGGAGCTGGGGCGGCGCTCGGACGCGGGATGCTGTGGGTTCTCGCCGTGGCTCACTTGCTGTGTGACCTCGGGCGAGTCGCTTTCCTCTTTGGGCGTTAGTTTCCTTAGCTGTCAAAAGAGAGCAGGACTCTGTGGTTGTGGCCATTGGGGCCCTTCCGTCTCCTTGCCACCACCCCCGGGACAGTGTTTCTGTTTTGAGTCCCGCTACCTTCTTTTATCTTGTCACAACTGCTCTCTCCTTCGGACTTGTCATTGCACGGTTCAGGGTTCATTTTATGGCTGTCACCGTTACTCATTTTCTCACTTGGTTATTGTAGGGATAACAGAGGGTGTACGCGTGAGGGCGTGGGAATTGGTATTGGAACCTCTTCTTTCGGATAACCCCCACACACTGACTTATATTTAGGGAATGGTAGCATAGGGACTGTGTTTGAAAGGCTGACATGGTTCATAGGCCTGTCTTGTTGGTTCATTCATTTAAAATCAATGCCTATGTGCCGAGCGCAAATGTTAGGTGCTGGGAGTTCACAGGTGAATAAGGGTGTCACTGCTTGCAGAAAGCTCTCAGTCCATTAAGGGAACAGGTACAGCAACGGGCGATTATAATGTGTATTATTTATTAATTAGTTCAATTAATTATTGAAGGTCTGCTTGTTGTGAGCGGTGGGGGTTACAGATGAACAAATCGAAGTCCTTGCTCTCATGAAGATTACATTCTAATGGGGGGGGAATAAACAAGTGAAATCATAGTGTGTCGGATGATGATAAATACTGTGGAGAAAAATAAAGGTTAGAGGGTAGGGGAATAAGTAGTATCAAGGGATGCACAATTGCTATTTTTAATACAGTGATTAGAGAAGGCCTCACTATGAAGGTGAATTTGAGCAAAGACCAGGTGAAGGGGCCAGCTATGGAGATACCTTGGGCAGCAGCATTCCAAAGAAGGCAAAGACAGGGCAGCCAGGAGTCCAGGGAGAGGGACTGAGAGAGAAGTGAGATGAGACCAGAAAGGTGTGTGTATGATAGGGGCAAATTCTTTAGGTAGGACCTTGTAGGTCTTGGAAGGCACTATGGTTTTTATTCTGAGTGAAATAGGAAGTCATTGAAGGGTTTAGAGCAGAGACTTAAATTTTAACAGGATCAGTGGCTGCTCGTTAGATTGTGGGGTGAAAGGTGAAAGCCAGAATACCAGTTAAAAGGCTGTTGGAATAATCCAGATTAGTAGAGGAGGAGGTGGTAAATTTGAGATATGGTTTGAAGGTGAAGCCCACAGGATTTGCTAATGGTTTGGAGGTAGATTGTAAAAGAAAAAGAGAACTCAAGGCGACTTCAAGATTTTAAAAACCTATGTTGATCAGGTTGGTCTTGAACTCCTGGCTTCAAGCAATGCTCCTGTCTCAGTCTCCCAAAGTGCTAGAACAGGCTCTGAGCCACTACACCCAGCCGACTTCAAGATTTTTAACGCGAGCATTTGCTGAGATAGGGAACACTGGGAAGAGCAGGTTTGGTAGGGGAATACTAAAAGTTTGGGTTTGAGAGGCCTGATAGACATTCAAGAATAGATGTCTAGGCCGGGCACGGTGGCTCACACCTGTAATCCTAGCACTTTGGGAGGCCGAAGCAGGCGGATCACTTGAGGTCAGGAGTTCGAGACCAGCATGGCCAACATAGCGAAATCCTGTCTCTATTAAAAAATACAAAAATTTGCTAAGCATGGTGATACATGCCTGTCCAGCTAGCTACTCAGGAGGCTAAGACATGAGAATTGCTTGAACCCGGAAGGCAGAGGTTGCAGTGAGCCGAGATCGTGCCACTGCGCTCCAGTCTGGGTGACAGAGCAAGATCCGTCTCAAGAAAAAAAGAATAGATGTCTTTCTTCATACCATATACAGAAATGAACTCCAAGTGGCCTATACTTTTATTTAGATCAAAGGCCTGAATATAAGAGCTATATCATTAAACTTTTAGAAAAAAATACAGCTAAATCTTCATGACTTTAGATTTGGCAGTACATTCTTGTTTGTTTTTTGTTTTTTTGAGACAGAGTCTTACTCTGTTGCCCAGGCTGGAGTGCAGTGGCACGGTCTCAGCTCACTGCAACCTCCGCCAGCGGGGTTCAAGCAATTCTACTCACTCAGCCTCCCAAGTAGCTGGAATTACAGGCGCCCATCACCATGCCTGGCTAATTTTTAAATTTTTTTTAGTAGAGACGGGGTTTCGCCATGTTGGCCAGGCTGGTCTCCAACTCCTGACCTCAGGTGATCCGCCCACCTTGGCCTCCCAAGGTGCTGGGATTACAGGCATGAGCCACCATGCCTGGTTGGCGCCACATTCTTAGATATGACACCAAAATACATGCAGTAAAAAGAAAAATAGACTAATTGGACTTCATCAAATTTAAACTTTTGTGTATCAAAGGACGTTACCAAGAAAGTGAAAAGAATGGAAGAAGGTACTTGCAAATTATACATTTGGGGTCTAGTATCCAGAATATATAATGAACTCTTTCAATTCAGCAACAGAAAGACAACCCAATTTTAAAATAAGCAAAGGATTTCTTTCTTTAAACAAAAGATACAAATGGCCAAAAAGCACATGAAAAGATGCTGAACATCACTCATTATTAGAGAAGTTCAAATCAAAACCACAAGTGGCAGTTAGACGTAGAATTACCGTGTGTCCCAGCAATTCCATTCCTAGGCGTATATCCAAAAGAATTGCAAACTGGTATTCAAAAAAACCAAATGTACACACATTCATAGCAGCACTATTCGCAATAGTCAAAAGGTAGAAACAAGCCATGTTTATCAGTGCATGAATGGATAAACAAAATGTATATCAATACAATGAAATATTAGCCATGAAAAGGAATGAAGTGCCAGTACATGCTACGGTATGGGTGAACCTCAGAAACATTATGCTAAGTGAAAGAAGCCAGATACAAAAGCTTATATGTTGTATCATTCTATTATATGAAATATCCAGAATAAGTAAATCCAGAGAGACAAAGCGTATCAGTGGTTGCCTGGGGCTGGGAGAAAGGGTATGGTTTTGATTTGAACTTCTCTAATAACGAGCGATGTTCGGCATCTTTTCATGTGCTTTTTAGCCATTCGTATCTTTTATGTAAAGAAAGAAGTCCTTTGCCTATTTTAAATTTGAGTTGTCTTTTTGTTGCTGAATTGTAAGAGTATTTTATATATTCTGGATACTAGACATACAGGGTTTCCTTTTGAGGTGATGAAAATGTTTTAGAATTAGGTGGTGGTGATGGTTGCAGAACATGATGAATGTATTAATTGCCATTCAGTTTTTTACTTTAAAATGGTTAATTTTATGTTATGAGAATTTCACCTCAAAGAAAATAGGTGTCTTGAAGAGAGAGTAGGATATACAAGTCTGAAATTCAGAGACTTTCAGACTGGAAATTGTAAATATGGGTGTTCTCAGTTGATAGAGGGTATTTAAAGCCATGGTACGGGTTAAGGTTATCTAAGGAGTGAGCAAAGAGTGGATCTGAGGATTGAGTTGTGGGGCATTCCCAGTGTTTTAAGTTCTGAGACATGGGAAAGAACTCGCTCAGTAGAGTGAGGAGTGGCCGTTGGGTTCCATGGGAACAGAGGAGAGGAGCATCTTAGTCTGACTTGGCCTTGCCCCATTATGCATTATCTTCCTTTTTCCCAAATTTTAGTCCAAAGACATTCTTACAGATTTATTTCACTTCCATAATGAGGGCACCCCTAGTCAGTTCGGGACCACAGGTAATTTGTGTTAATATGTTGTGAATCCTGTTTTTACTACACTCCTTAAGGGGAATATGGTCTATAGGGGGTTACAGTTTCAGATTTGAAAGAACTTTTTAGATCTAGTGAAATCTCACTTGAAATACTGGAATTTTCTCAATAATAGTGACTTTTAGTCATTTTTAGGGTTATTATCCTTTTGAGAATCTAACATAAGGACTCTTACCTGAAAAAACAAAAACAAACATAGACACAATTTAGCATTCGAAGACAAAGGTGTTTATGGACCTTTATAGGCCCTGTGCGTTCCTGACAGATGGGCATCTCTGCCCTGGCTAAAACACCTCTAATGACAGTCCTCCCCTTTGTGAGAAGACACCTGATGATCCTGGACAACTTTGGCTGTTGTTTCTTCCCTGTATTGAGTGGACATCTGCCTCCTGTAATTGAGGCCTTGGAGGTCCTGGTTTTGTCCCCAGGATCACGCTAAGTCTGTGCCCTTTTCAGTGTTAGACTCCTTTGAATGCTTCAAGACCAAATCATGAATTTCTTTTTAAAAAGATGTTTATTGAGATACAATTCACATATAGTTCACCCATGTAAAGTGTACGACTTGGGGTATGTACATTAATTTTTAAAATTTTGGTAAAATACATGCAACAAAATTTGCTATTTTAATCTTTAAATGTGCAATTCAGTGGCATTACATTCACAGTGTTGTTCAGTCTTCTCCACTATTTCCAAAACTTTTTCATTATCCCAAACAAAAACTGTAACCATCAGGCAATAACCTCCCATTCCCCTGCCCTTGCAGCCTTTGGTAACCTCAAATCCACTTTCAGTCTTTATAAATTTGACTGTTCTAGGTTCCTCCTATAGGTGGAATCATACAATATTTCTCCTTTTATGTCTGGCTTAACATAATATGTTCAAGGTCTTTTTATCCAAATGAGACCTCCTTGTACTACATGATTTCAAGTTCTACTGTATTTGATAGTTTCCTTTTCACTGTGCCCAGAGTTATTTATAACAAAGAAGTAGTTTCCAGAGGTGTTATTGAATTAATAACAGTGTTTTTAGGGTTGTTAGTTCTAAACCCCACCCACACCTTTTCTTCCGTAAACAGGTTGTAGGGAAGGTTGATAAAAGGTGACACTGCCAATCTAGTCATCAAATATTAGCATTGTTAACTAACAATAAAGATGAATATATTTAATGCTATTAAAACAGTACATTTCTCAGTCATCAGTTATAAATCCCATGCATGCTTTTAGAAAAAGCTATTTAGA